AGTTCATGGGGTCACAAACAGTTGGACACAACTTAGCGACTGAACAACCACTAGCAGTAGTAGTAGTGTGGTGCTAGTTGCTCAGTCGTGTCCGACTCTTTGCGATCCCACAGACTGTAGCCCGCCAGGCTCCTCTGTCCATGGGATTCTCCAGGCAAGAATACTGGAGTGGATTGCCATTCCCTTCTCCAGAGGGTCTTTCTGACCCAGGAATTAAAACCGGGTAACCTGCATTGCAAGCAGATTCTTTACCATGTAAGCTACAGGGAAGATCCAGGAGATTTTAACTCATCAAGAACTCTCAGTGTCTTTTTAGTTGACCACAGTCTCCAGTTCAGTCTCTTCTACTCTTCAAATACTATATTTATTTAATAAAAACTGAACCCTTGGTAATTTATGATTAGCACCAGCCATAAGCCCTCATGAATGATGGACATGATAATTAAAAGAGCCACATAATACAAAAGTATGTAAAGGAGGAGACCAACATAATTCAGCTTGCAAAAAGGACATATCACTCCGTGGTACATTTGATACCTTAGAGTAGAAAAGTGATATCTAGATATTACTATGAAAGAATTAAGTAAAATAAACTTTCATTTCTACTAAAATGGCAGCAATCTTTCATGATCAGTAACTGCAGATTTAATAAGGCTATTGAAAAACAGTTGATAATAAATTTCAAAGTCCTTAACTTAGGAAATAATTTTGATACATGACAATGAGTCTGTTCAAAAAAAGTAAAGGCATAAAGCAGACTAAAAGTAAATGACAACAGAAAATTACTGTTAGAGAAGATTTATGATCTACTTGAGCAGCTTCTGTACATTATTTGATACGCTTAGTATTATAGCCTAACAGGGAACCAAAAATCAACATAATGAATAAAATAGAGTAAGAGCTAAGAAATAACCCAAGAATTCAACAGGGAGATGAATATTATGAAGTTATGAATATGGAACTAGATACTAAATATTTCCTTCTTTAAAAACAAGTAAACTGATGTTCTTTCATAAGGTTTTTTTTTTTTTTTAAGGTTTTCTATAGATAATAAATAACTGCCACCAGGCAATTAACTCAAGTTAAAACACAAAGGCATATGAGGCAGTAAGACAGAGGAAACAATCTAATCTGTTAGGAAAAAGATGTAGAAGCTGTGTTGGTGATCATGTTGATATTGCTCTGTGTTTCCCCCAACCAACAAGAACATGGTCCCCATTCTCTTACAACAGAACATAATTTTTATGAATGACTGTTAATTTTGCTTATTTTGAGGCCTGTAATTTATGCTAGTAGGTTGTTCTACAAGGTGGATCAGATGTCATATTCTCTAAGGACAATTCCTCTCTTAATGTTCAGGGACAAAAATGTGGCCTGTTTTCAAATAAGCATGAAATAGAGTACCAATACTACAACTCAACAAGCATTTACCAAGAATCTTCTAACTATTTCCTTAATCAACACAGACCAGAATAAACCAGGTTGATTTCTTTATATATTTACTAAAAACATTTTAAAGCTGAGATATGAAGTATTTAGTAAATGAGTGACTGAATGCTTCTATATTAATTCAGATCTCAGATGTACACAAAATGCTTGCTTAAACAAAATATTTTCCATTAAGTCTAGCAAATACTCAAATTTTCAACTTTTGTCTCTTAAGATCCTTACATATACTAGATTTAATGTCCACTCCAAATTAAAAAAAATACTCTGAAGTCATGCAAAGTGAAAATTCTAATGTCAGATTCTAATCATTTGTAAATTCCCACCATGTAAAAATTTAGAAGCATGATTTCTTTCCTTTCAGAAATGTCCCTTCCAATGACAGGTTAGTAAATTATAAAATAAAACTTTTAGATTTCCATTACCCACATCACCATCTTGTACAGATAGAGAAATCATTCTTTCTTGATCAGGTGCAATACTAATGCAAACATTACTAATGCAAACAATACTAATGCAAAACTAATGATATTTTTAGTTAGAACACTGACACTAAAGAAAGAATTATGAAACTAGAACTTCTCTGTGTAAAAAAGCCAGAATAGATTCTACGTTACATGCTTTATAATTTTACCTTTAAGAGCATAGAAGTAGCAATGGATCAAGCACTTTATTCAGAGAAGTAAGAACTGTATAAAATAAACATCTCATTGATATTTTTAAAATTTTTAAAATTTTTCTTGCTTAAAAGCTAGATGTTAATTTTATAAAACACATCAATAAATATCTAAAAATAGACAGCTCATGGGTTTATAAATCTCCTTCCTCTATACTAATAATTTGAAACTACTTTTTAAAAAAAAGCAAAAATTTAAAACAATATTAAAATCTAGCTTCTGAAAACACTTTGTTTCACATTCTATAAAATCAGAAAAAAGCTGCACTTTACTCAGAATGTAGTTTTTTTAATTTTGTAAACTAAGAGTTAAAATTCAAACTCTGGATTCTGCCAGAGCAAGGCAAGTAAACTTAGAGGGACTGTTTCCCTATCTTTTAAATGGTGATGTATATAATACCTCATCACGGGTCTATAGGAAAGATCAGACAACAGATTAAGTCTGAAGTCTAGTGCTGAGTACATAGTGGATGCTCAATCAATGATACATATCATTTGAAAGTTAAAGACAGTACATCTGCAGGAACCACCTCTTCCTATATAAAATTCTTTTGTGTCAACAGTCTCAGATGTGAAGACAATTATGAATTTTGTTACAGATTCTTAAGAAGACATATCTCTTTTATTCTCTTCCTGAAGAGTCAATGATTAAATTGGCAGTTTGTTGTTTTCATTACCATTGTGTAACTATTTGTCCTTAACATTTTATGAAATACAATTTCAAGACCATTTTCAATAAATGGGGCTAACAATTAACTCTGCAATTGGTCTGAAATTTAATCCAACACCATACACACTTGTCAATATTTCCTGAATCTGTTCTTTAAAATGCTATAAAATTTTGCTTCCTTTTTTCATTTCTCTTCATCAACTTTCGCTGGGTTTCAGTCTTTTCAGGAGAGGGCTGATTACACCTCCATGTATAACCAAGGACATGGAATCCCTGTCCTTCAGGTACTGAATGAATGGTCCATTTGGAAAATACTACCTGTTTCTAACATAAAGAAAAAACTGGGCCATTTAAAACAAAAGAAGTTATAAAAAGCAATGCTTCAAAAAAAAAAATGAACTTGAGATACTCAATTTATGTAGACTAATTATATATTATGTAAATCGACCTATACAGGCATGTGTAAAAATCAGGTCATCACGTGGTGTTCTCTAATCCTTAAGACCAGTGCTACCCATAAGAATCTTCTGTCATTATGCAAATAGTTTACATCTATGATCACCAACCAAACAGGGTTACTGAAAAATTAAGAGTAAAAAACTTAATCTTTTATTAAATTTAACTATTAAATTTAAGTAGCCACATATATCTACTATAACGGTGAACAAAGGCTTACACATTTTCTTTTCTCTTTTTCTAAAGTTTTTTTGATGTGGACTATTTTTAAAGTCTTTATTGAATATGTTACAATATGGCTTGCGTTTTATTTTTTGGCCCTGTGCCATGTGGGGATCTTAGCTCCCAAACCATAATGGAACCCAAACTGCCTGCATTGGAAGCAAGGACAACCACTGGACCACAGGGAAGTCCCTTTTTTATTGTTCCTTTTCATTACCATTGTGCCCTTTATCCAGATGGTCTCATTGAACACCTTGTTTTAAACCCCTTCTGTGATATCTCTAAGATCAAACAGCTTGACAAAACTGTAATCTCAAAACCAAACAACTACTGAAACAGAATTTTAAAAGCCAACTTTAAAATGCACTTTTTGATGAAGAGCACTGCAATCAGTTATTTTAATTTTATAATCACAATTTACTAAAGAAAAAAAATGCATACATCTCAGAGTGCTTCAAATTTAACTTTAACAACACAGTATATAACTTCCTTCCTGAATTATTTGTCAGCTACATAATTACTCCCAGGGTAAAATAAAGGCATAATTAAAAACAAGTAAGGCATAAACCAAAGTACAACCAAGCAGAATTAAGAGAACAATTGAAAATTATTCTGTATCTATCTATTCACTGTGATAATACAGAAATTAATGACTAGAAATATGATGGCTCAAATGCAACAATACAATGAATTGGTCAGTGAAGAGCTATGTAATTTTTATCTCTAGTATTATTTACCACACCACCAAAGATCAAGAGTTACCTCAATTTTAAGGGATTTTTGGATGACTGATGATGGCTCTTTCCAATTAAATCTAAGCATACATTATTTTAAAGTAAAATGATTAAAAAGCCATCATAAAAAAATGTTAAGGGTTTTAAGCACCCTCTTTCTTTTTTCATAAGCTTCCTCTCTGTTTCTCCTCTCCACACGTAAACACAGTCTTTTTTTTAAAGCACAAATGTAGGTGTTAAGAAGAAAAACAACTCCTGGGGCACGTCTGTTAAGAACTGCCTCTCTCTGGGACTGGTATTAATGTCATCACTACCAATCAATTCCTCCTTTCTTCTGCCTATCAACTTGGCTTTCAGTATCCTGGGGGTGGGGAGGTAGGTAGGAGGGTGGAACAAGTGAAACAACATCAGTATTCAAACATAGGATTCAAAAGAATTCAAACAATGTGAATGCAAGTTATTTGCTAAACTATATATGAATTTCTGAAAGACTGCTGACTTGATTTTTTTTTTTTTTTGGTTTGGCATTTGAGTAAACATTAAAAAACTTACTAAAGTGTAAAGTAAAGCAAAGTGAAGTTGCTCAGTTGTGTCCAACTCTTTGCTACCCCATGTACTGTAGCCTGCCAGGCTACATGGAATTTTCCAGGCAAGAGTACTGGAGTGGGTTGCCATTTCCATCTCCAGGGGATCTTCCCAACCCAGGAATCAAACCCAGGTCTCCTGCACTGCAGGCAGATTCTACCGTCTAAACCACCAGGGCACCGCTCCCCACCACCCAAAAAAATCAACTTACTATTCTGCGTCAAAGCTTGAAGTAGACAATCCAAGCATCCTTCTAAACTATCATCAGTTCTGTCAGCAGCTGTAATCTTCAGCTTCTTCAAGGTATCACTGAGATTATCTGCTTAGAGAAAAAAAGAGAAATCAGAAACCTCACTAACCATCATGTTGCATGATAAACAGTACAAACAGGCAAAAGGCTCCCATTATGGTGAATTATTTTCATATACGTTCCAAAACAGCAATGGACTATACAATTACTCATTTTTAAATAAAATTTTATCCATTTAACTCATATAAAATAGTCACTTCATCTGTATGATACCAAGAATATTCTATAGTCACAGAAGATCTTTTCAGCATTCTTATACCTTATCTATTGTTCACGAACCAGCCATGGTTAACTGAAAAAAATGAAAAGTCCACAAACACTTGCATAAGCTTTGCAAGTAATAATGGATTACATTTTTTTGGCTTCCTCTGTTGCATTTTAAATACATAAAATGAAAATGAAGCTTTAGAAAAGTTTCAAAATAATTTGACTTAAAATAATAAAGTCTGATTATTATTGTGGGCTTCCCTGATGGCTCAGATGGTAAACAATCTGCCTACAATGCGAGAGGCTCAAGGATGGGGAAGATCCCCTGGGGAAGGAAGGGAATGGCTACCCCGCCAGTATCCTTGCCTGGAGAATTCCATGAATAGAAGCCCCTGTCTACGGGGATGCTCACTAATATAAAGCTTTTAAAAACTGCCACTTAAACACTTCAAAGTACTGCTTTAAGCCAAAATGTGTACATTCTGGATTTTACAGCATTTTGCATGCTTGGTCACTAAGTCGAGTCTGACTTTTTGTGACCCCATGCGCTGTAGCCCTCCAGACTCCTCTGTACACGGGATTTCCCAGGCAGGAATACTGGACTGGATTGCCATTTCCTCCTCCAGAGGATCTTCCAGACCCAAAGACTGAACCCACGTCTACTACATTGACCACTGGAGAAGGAACTGGCAACTCACTCCAGTGCTCTTGCCTGGAGAATCCCAGGGACGGGGGAGCCTGGTGGGCTGCCACCTGTGGGGTCACAGAGTAGGACACGACTGAAGCGACTTAGCAGCAGCAGCTGCAGCTACTGCATTGACAGGCAGGTTCCTTACCACTGAGCCACCTGGGAAGCCCTTTAAAACACTGCTCTTCCAAATTATATATGGATTTCTCTAGACCATAGATTGTTAAAATTTTTTACATATTAAAAATTATTTAGCATGCCAAGGAGTTATTAAATTTTTATTGAAGTATATTTGATGTACAATGTTATGTAAGTAACAGTGTATAGTACAGTGATTCACAATTTTCAAGGTTATAATCTATTTATAGTTATTATAAAATACTTGCTGTATTCCCTATATTGTACAATATACCCTTGTAGCTTATTTTCTACATCATAGTTTGTACTACTTAATCCTCTACCCTTTAATTGCCCAAGCTTTATTCTATGTATCAGTGAGTCTGTTTCTTTTTTGCTGTATTTACTAGTTTGTTGCATTTTTAAAGTTCCACATATAAATGATACCATACAGTATTTGTCTGACTTACTTCACTTAGCATAATACTCTCTGGGTCTACCCATGTTGTTGCAAATGGCAGAATTCCCTTCTTTTTTTATACTGGAATACTGAGACAAATAATGTATGATATCCTTTACATGTAGAATCTAAAAAATACAGCAAACTAGTAAATACAGCAAAAAATACACAGACTCACCGATACAGAGAACAAAGTAGTGGTAACTAGTGTGGAGAAGGAAGGGGAGAGGGGCTGCTATGAACACTGGGATGAATGTAACATTTTGAATTAGTGTTTTGGTATGTATACCCAGGAGTGGAATTGCAGGCTCATATGGTAGTTCTATTTTTAGAGAAATCTCCATAGTGTTTTCCAGTGGTTGCACCAATTTACATTCCTACTAACAGTATATATACAAGGATTCCCTTTTCTCCACATCCTCACCAACATGTGTTACTTGTGGTCTTTTTAATGACAGCCATTCTGTCAGGTGCTGGGTGATATCTCATTGTGGTTCTGACATATTTCCCTGATGATTAATGATGTTGAACATTTTTTAATGTGCCTAATGGAGATCAGTCCTGGGTGTTCTTTGGAAGGACTGATGTGGAAGCTCAAACTCCAATACTTTGGCCACCTGATGTGAAGAGCTGACTCATCTGAAAAGACCCTGATGCCGGGAAAGACTGAGGGCAGGAAGAGAAGGGGACGACAGAAGATGAGATGGTTGGATGGCATAACTGACTCAATGGACATGGGTTTGGGTGGACTCCGGGAGTTGGTGATGGACAGGGAGGCCTGGCATGCTGCAGTTGATGGGGTGGCAAACAGTCGGACACAACTGAGCGACTGAACTGAACTGAATGGTCATCTGCATGTCTTTGGAAAATATCTGTTCAGGTCTTTTGTCCATTTTTTAATCAGGCTCTTTGGCTTTTCTGATTTTAAGCTGTATGAGCTACTTACACATTTAGGAATATTAACCTGTTATTGGTCATATTATTAGCAAATATTTTCTCCCATTTAGAAGGCTTTTTGTTTTGTTGATGCTTTCCTTTGATGCACAAATGCTTTTAAATTTAACTAGGTCCCATTTGTTTATTTTTGCTTTTATTTATTTCCTTTGCTTTAGGAAACTGATTCAAAAAACTACTGCTACAATTTATATCAAAAAGTGTTCTCTTTGTATTTCCTCTAGGAATTTTATAATTTCTGGTCCTATATTTAGGTCTCTAATCCATCTGGAGTATAGCTTTGCATATGGTATTAGAAAATGTTCTAACTTCATTCTTTTCCATGAAGCTATCTAGTTTTCCCAGCACTACTTATTGAAGACACCATCTTTTCTCCACTGTATGGTCTTGCTTCCTTTGCTGTATATTAATGGACCATGAGTGTGTCAGTTTATTTCTGGGCTTTCTATTCTCTTTATCCTTGGTGATGCCTGTGCCAGCACCATACTGTTTTGATGACTGCAGCTTTGTAGTATAGTCTGAAGTAAAGGTGTATAATTCCTTCAGCTCTGGTCTTCTTTCTCAGGATTGTTTTGGCTTTTCAGGGTCTTTTGTGCTTCCACACAAATTATTATATTATTTGTTTTAGTTCTGTGAAAAATGCCATTGGTATTTTGACAAGGGTTGCATCTGTAGATTGCCTTGGGTAGTATGGTTATTTTAACAATAGTAATTCTTTCAATCCAAGAATACTGTATATCTTCACCTGCTTGTGTAATCTCAATTTCTTTCATCAATGTCTCATAGCTTTCCAAGTACAGGTCTTTTACCTCCTCAGGTTGGTTTATTCCTAGGTATTTTATTCTTTTTGATGCAATAGTAAATGGGATTATCATCATAACTTCTCTTTCTGATAGTTCATTGTTAGTGTATAGAAATGCAACAAGTTTCTGTATAATAATTTTGTACTCTGCAATTTTACCAAATTTATTGATAAGGTATGATAGTTTCTGGTGGTGTCTTTAGGATTTTCTGTGTATAGTATCATGTACGAAAGAGCTCTTTTTAAAATTATTTATACTGATATTTAACATTCTGAAAATTAAAAATGAGACTTTTTTAAAGACTGACTTTAGTAATTCATTTAAAACTAATATAAAACTATTAACATAATTTTATTTTTAATGAAAAATACTTCAAAACTGAGAAAACTTACAGAAGAGAGGCATTGCCCTACATTTTCACAAGTCTCTACAACGTCTGCCCTATAGAAGAAAACTGGATTCTCATATCTGCTTCTGTACTCAATTGTTTATAATTTGTTGTTTTGGTTGAGTAGAAGAAAAAAACTCAGTCTCACACATATACACAGTTGAGAAACAAGACAGTATTTTAACTGCCTCTTCAGATAATGGTGGGCATTATTTGATACCATACCAAAACTTAATGAGCAGTATTTTTTTAAACATTAGTTGCCATGTGAAATCTGAAACATAATGAGCACTGCCAAGTTACACGAAAAGCTATTGCTCTTTTGCACTTTGAAGCTTTTATACATGCAATATGTTTATCATTGATGAACTGATCATTTAAAAAATTAGGTCATGGAGATATGCACATCTTCCAAATATTTGACACATTCCATTGTACTATTTCAAGATATCATATTTGTTAATATCATCACTAATCTTTTTTAAAGACTAGGTATTAGGAAGCTATCAAGCTGAAAGTGATACAAGTTTTCCAAAGTTCCAATTTTCTCTTAAAAATTCTTAATTTTATCACTAGGAACAGATACTGTCAATTTTTTCTTCAGTGACAAATTAACCTCATTCCTTTGTGAGAAAATATCTGCCAATTATGAAAAGCCAGCTTATCTCTCAGTTCTTAAAAAAAAAAAAAGCTATTCCATGGGAAAAAAGTTATCTCAGTCAGCTCACAACTCAAGAGTGCACGACTGCTTTACTTAGAGATAACTATCAGAATTAACAATGCAATGCAAGTGTTTTATGTGTACTTCCCATTTTATCACATAGTATACTTTCAAAAGTGTACGAAAAGGTTGAGTTTTAAAAACATGGTCTTTTTTTTTTTTTATGTGGAACGTGCCAAAAATCTACACTGAATTTTTTACAACACTGCTTCTGTTTTTGTTTTGTTTTCTTCTTCTTCTTTTTTTTTTTGACCCTGAGCCATGGGAGATATTAGCTCCCAGATCAGGGACTGAACCCATACTTGATACATTGGAAGGCAAAGTTTTAACTACTGGACCACCAGAGAAGCCCACATCATGGACATTCTTAAGTGAAATTGGCATTTTTTTCAACCTCAAGTATATGGTAATAAAGAATACAATAACTACTAATTATTGCAGTTTCTGATACTACTGATTAGCACACACTGAAGCACCAGCAGGTTTCAACTCCAATTACTTTTAGAACACTGAATGCAAATGTCAACACAGTGAAAGAGGAAAAAATGTCTTGATTCTATGCAAATAGTTTTGACGTCACAGACACCCCAATAGGATACCAAGACCCCTGAGATTGCTGCTGTAGTATCTGAATTTCAGGCATTGTCTTACTTCAAAGTAAGGTATACATTTTA